CCTTACAGTTTATCTGTTGAACAAAGTCAGGCAAACATCTTACAGAGCCTCCTAAGGGTCTGACTTGTGCCAAACGCTTGCCCCATGTTCTAGTATGTTCTCCATTCCCTGTATATTTCCTGTCAATTGATAAGTAGGTGACGTGGCAACCAATAACCACACATGACTATAGAGCACTTGAAAATGTGGTCAGTTCATGTGGACAAGTGCTGTTAAATACAAAATTGCAGCAGGATTTTCCAAATCTTAACACCACAAGAAGCGAAATGTATCTCATTAATAACATCTTATATTGATTGTGTGTCAAAACGGTAATACTTTGGGTATACTGAGTTGAGACAAACTATCATAGAAGTTAATTATACATCTCTCTTTTTTTAATGTAGATGCTAGGAGAATTTGGACTCACACATATGGCTGACATTATATGGCTACCGAACACTGCTAACTGTAGAGGCTTGATCAATGTCAGGGTTTTATTTTTTTAAAGATTGATTTATTTATTATCAAAAAGTCAGATATATAGAGAGGAGGAGAAACAGAGAGTAAAACCTTTTGTCCGCTGATTCACTCCCCAAGTGGCTGCAATGCCCAGATCTGAGCTGATCTGAAGGCAGCATTCAGAAGTCTCCCATGCAGGTGCAGGGTCCCAAGGCTTTGGGCCATCCTCTACTGCTTTCCCAGGCCACAGGCAGGGAGCTGGATGGGAAGTGGAGCTGCCGGGACATGAAGCGGAGCCGATATGGAATCCGGAGTATACAAAGAGAGAGGAATTTAGCCATTAAGCTATTGTGTTGAGCCCATTTTCATGTTTTTTGTTTGTATTGAAATATTTATTTTGAATGGAAAGGCAGATATACAGAAAGGAAATACAGAATAAGTTCTTCCATCTGCTGGTTCACTACCCAAGTTGCCTCAATGGCCTGAGCTGAACTGATCTGAAGCCAGGAGTTTCTTCCAGGTCTCCCACGCAGGTGCAGGGCCCCAAGGCTTTGGTCCATCCTCTACTGCTTTCCCAGGCCACAGGCAGGGAGCTGGATGGGAAGTGGAGCAGCCAGGACATGAACTGGCACCGATATGGGATCCTGGTGGGTGCAAGGTGAGGATTTAGACACTAGGTCATTGCATTGGGCCCAAGCTAAAATATTTCTACAAGTCTGCCTTTAGGGTAAGTAGATGAGAGATTGTAGTATCAATTTTGGGGCTTTTAGTCACTTGAAATGGTTCCTGTGTGGCTGTGCTCGCCCCTGCATGTGTAGGCTGCATTGGGTCTGCTGTGCTTTTTCCTGTTAGAGGTATTGCTTCGGGCTATAATGACACGAAGTCTAAACAGCAGCCTATACTGCGGCAATACTTGGAGCAAAGCTGCCATTTCTCCCTCACAGCCAGTACACCACTCCCCACAAGGAGAGCCATTTCTTTATTATTATTATTATTTGTTTGAAGAGGCAAAGCTACATACACACACAGAATGTCCATATTTTCCATATGCTAATTTGCTCCCCAAATAGTCGCAATGGCCAGGCCCAGGCCAGACTATAGCTAGAAGCTTCCTCCAGGTCTCCCATGCAGGGTCTCCCAGGGTCCCATGCAGGGTCTCCCAGGGACCCAAGGCTTTGGGCCATCCTTGACTGCTTTCCCAGGCCACAAGCAGGGAGCTGGATGGGACATAGAGTAGCCAGAACACGAATTGGTGCCCATATGTTATCCCGGCACTTGTAGGGAGAGAATTAACCAGTTGTTCCATTGCCTGAACCCTCAGGTTGATTTTGACACAACAGAACAATGCTGAGCAGGAGCTGGGTCCAAGTTGACCCAGATAGGAAGCGCATTACAAGGAGATTTACTGAAGGAGTAGAAAACCCAGAAGCACAAAGATTTCTTTTCTTGAAAAAAATTATGTATTTGAAAGGCAGAGTTACAGAGAATTTGGGTGTGGGCTGGCAAGAAGAGGAGGTGGGCAGAGATAATCTTTCATGTGCTGAAAAAGGTGAGAGTGGGCAAGGTGGAAGTCAGACATCAATCCACCAGGCTTCCCACGTGGGTGCAGAGGCCCAAGCATTTTGGCCATCTTCTGTTGCTTTTCTGTTTTTGTTTTTTTTTTTAAGATGTATTTATTTTTTATTGCAAAGTCAGTTATAGAAAGGAGGAGAGACAGAGAGAAAGATCTTCCATACACTGGTTCACTCCCCAAGTGTCTGCAACGTCCAAAGCTGAGCCAAGGAGCCAGGAGGAGCCTTTTGCAGATCTACCACGTTGGTAGATTCTCAAGGCTTTGGGCTTTCCCGGGCCCTTTTCCCAGGGAGCTTCCCACTCCCACTCTCCACACCGGGATGAGCCTCCGGTACTCCTGAGCGTGCCCTCTCCCCACGCCGCTGTGCTGTGGGCCTGTCCACTTCCACAAGGCCTGCCTCCCTCCTATTTCCTGCGCCATAGCCCTGCTGAGCTCTCCTGTATTCCTCCCCTCCCCTCAGCCCCCACTTCGGGGGTTCCACATATGTGATAATAAACAACTCTGTTCTGGAAGGGGTTCCCAGTCCCATAGTGGTCACCCCTTGCCTGTGCAGGGCACCTGACTACACATGTGGAATTCCTGTAGACACGGGGGTATCTCTCCTCCCCACCCCATGCCCTGTTCTGTTCCTGTACTGAGCTCTTCTATACCCAAGGGGACTTCCTGGACAGGTACCAACTCCTCCTCACCCAGCTGGGGTTCTGGCCCATACTCCAGGTAGCGCTGCCACATCCATGAACCACCCTGGTGGCTTTCACATCTACCAGCTCCTCCAGCTTTGTGAGCTATTATATAATCTTCCATGTTTCCTAAACCAAGTTCATTACTCCTCCCCCACCTCCAAGTTCATGGCTCCCATCTATTTTCTTTTCTTCTTTTTTAAAAAGATTTATTTTTATTGGAAAGGCAGATATACAGAGAGCAGGAGAGACAGGAAGATCTTCCTTCCTATGATTCACTCCCCAAGCAGCTGCAACGGCTGGAGCTGAGTTGTTCCGAAGTCAGAAGCCAGGAACTTCTTTCGGGTCTCCCAAGCGGGTGCAGGATCCCAAAGCTTTGGGCCACAGGCAGGGAGCTGGATGGGAAGCTGCCAGGATTAGAACCAGTGCCCATATGGGATCCTGGCGTGTTCAAAGTGAGGACTTCAGCTGCTAGGCTATCAAGCTGGTAGGGAGGCACCTATTTCTTTGGTTTAATGAATAGAATGACCTTTATTCCAGATAGAAACCCCAGTTAGCTTTAGCCTGTCCCTTTGCCTCTAGCCCAAATACGAATACAAAGAGCCGAATTCCCCAGTGTGTGGGTCAGCTTTTCATTTTACAATTCGGATTCTCTGGAGACAGCTTGCTGCCTGAAGTACTCCAAGCTCCCCAGTCCTCTTTTACTTAAAATCTTTCTGTAGGTCTGCTTTACTGGTCTCCCTCAAAGCAAATGTTTTACACGTTATTAAGAGTGATTACTTCCAGCCAGGGCAGGGCAGAACTAGTAGTGGAAGAGTTATCTATGAAATGATTAGCATTATTTTTTACAAACAAGATTTTTTTTAAGCAATCAGAAAAATGAATGGATTCAAAAACTTGTCAGTTGCTTTTTGTGTGCAGGATACATTGTAGACTTTATTCATTGCCCATTTTTCTCCAATAAAGGACTCCCTTTCCCGTCAGAACAAGCTGACCGACTAGATTTTCCTACTCCTAATGCCTTGCCCGCGTCTTCTACTTCCTCTCCATTTACTCAAGCAAAGCATACCCGTGGCCTCCTTCCTGTCAGCTCTGCCTTGGGGTTCCCAGTGGTCAGTACAAAATGAGCAATCTCATAGTATGGAGAACACATGGTTGTGACCCAGTGGCTCAGGTTACAAGATTTTTTGTAAGAGTTGGAGAAGAGTCAGGGGCAGCTGCAGAACTACGAGGTTCAAGAACAACTTGCTGAAGCTACTATCCAAGGACTTAGAAAGCCACCAATGGCATAACCACTACTGCACCTCATCACCCACAAGGCTTCCAGATACTTGATTACAATACTGCTCTGAGGCACTGGCTGGACCCATTTCCTCAGTCTTTCTTATCAGCAACCACTACAGTAGGAAGGTATTTACATTTACTCTACACTGCTTTCAAAGAAAAGATATTCAGAAACAGAAACATAGCTGCAAGGGAGTCTGGGTAGTTCTCAACATTTTAGCCTCTACAAATAAATGGATGTGGTACAGAAATTTTGCATCAGCTGACCAATCCAGATACTTTAGGAAAAAAGGGCAGTTGAACAATGGAAGGTACATACTTTGACTAGGCCAACCAAGCATGCACTTGGATTTTAAAGCTAACAGAGGAAAACTATCTGGAGGAAAAGAAGTAACACAATAGGGCTCGGCATGGTACAGTAGCCTAGCGACTGAAGTCCTCTCCTTGAGCGTGCCAGGATCCCATATGGGTGCCTGTTCTAATCCCGGCAGCTCCACTTCCACTTCCCATCCAGCTCCCTGTTGTGGCCTGGGAAAGCAGCTGAGGATGGCCCAAAGCCTTGGGACCCTGCACTTGTGTGTGAGACGTGGAGGAGGCTCTGGGCTCCTAGCTTCGGATCAACTCAGCTCTGGCTGTTGCAGCCACTTGGGAAGTGAACCAACAGATGGAAAATCTTTCTCTCTGTATATGACTTCCCAATTAAAACACACACACACACACACAACAAAGCTTGGTTGGTATCAACATAAGGTTTTGGCTATGATGCAGGAATTACAGCAGGTCAAGGTCCAAGGTGATGACTAAGCCTGAGGGGAATCAAAGGATACAGAGAAGAGAAGGAAGAGACAGAAAGCATCAAGTCCAGAATTGGGCGTTTAGAATAGGACTTTAAATCTTATTTGGAATCCTCCAACTTACATGGATTATAAATGGCCTGAACTTTGTCTCATCAACAGCGTTTTTTAAAAAACCGGTGACAACAATAACACATTAGAAATACATAGGACACAAAAGTACTTCGGTTTTCTCCTTTCCTCAACGGGTTTATTGCCTTTTAAGAAAATTTTTGTAAAATATAAATACAAAGGCAGAGAATTTACTTACAAAGTTAAAACACAGATTTCAAACATAAACACACAATTCAGAAAATTTTAGTTTTATGTACATTTTTCAAGCAACCTCAACATATTATGTTAGTTTTCAATATTTTACAGGGTACAGAAAAAAATAGCTCAAAGTCTTCTTTAAATAAGAGCATAAAATGTTTAAACATATAAACAATCCGGTTTGATGCGTGAAAACTAATTTCACAGCTTTTAAATTAGGATATAAAAGTTTCATACAATTAGTTGTTGTGTGTGGATATGGTTTGAATTTATATTACACACTACTGGATTATATCCAATAGCATTTACCTGGCCCAAGCAGGTACTCTGTAAACAAAACATAAAGGTACAACACCACCAAGTGCCTTCACCAAATTCGCTCCCCAAAACCAACCACACAAATTCAGACCACACATTACATACTTAGAACCTCTGGCATCAAAACTTTTAATGAAATTAAATCAAAATGTGAAGCTCCTTTTCCTCATGTCTGCTTCCCCTTTAGAAAAAAAAAAAAAAAAAAGTAAAGAAAAAAAAATGTTCCAAGTAAAAACAAATCTATCCCAATTCCAAAGCATGTGTGCATCCAAAAGTAAAAGAAACACTATATAACAACTTTATAAAAACTGACTTAAAAAGTTTCAAAAGAAAACAACAGATTTTGAAGTTCTTCTGACTGGAGCACTTTCTCTTATATAAAGAAGAGATATTTTCCTATGTAATAGTGTCCTTTCTTTACAGAAATAGCTGTACTATGACACATATGCACAAGGATTCCCACAGAACACACTGTCCGCCATCCGCCAAGGAGCTGCCAAGCTCACCAGCTGGCTTCCGAGATGCCTTCACTGGGGTGCAGCCACTCTATGGTGGAGCCCAACAGAGTCTGCAGGTCGCTGGTGAATTCCACCAGATCAAGCAGTTCTTTGCTCTCCGGGTTGAAGGCTTCCAGGTCTTTGGGACAAGAGAATAAAAGGCTTGTGGAGACCTGCCGGTAGAGCTCTGCCTCGGCAATGGTGACAATCTCCACATTTGGAAAGTTGCAGCGGAAGATGCGTGAGGACATCTTCAATTTCTTCAGTACATCTGACAGCAGTAGCCAATTTCGTGGCCTAGGATATGCAAAGGCAAGTGGTTAGAGTTCCTGGTAAAAATGCCATACCTCTGTGTGTGCCCCATTACTGGCACTAGGGGAAGACTCTGAGTTGCACCCTGTTTGATCTCTCCTTCCCTTACACCCCTCAACTCTGTTGAGAGTGACAGTATCTCATTGGTTGCATATATCCTGCCATACTTTATGATTTCTCTCACTGTTTGTAACAGCATACATGTTTATAGCTTCAGAGCCTAAGGGGGATTTTACTCATTAGGCACCTTCGTGAACATAGGGTAGAGCCAAGGACTGATCACTGGGCTACAATGGCCTAACCATGTGAGTAAGACAAGCTCTAGCCAGATGTGATGACACTGGAAGGTCCCAAGTGCCATGTATAATGATCGTCTTAATACATCTCAAAGCATTTTGGTGATGAAGGTACCCAAGTTGTTGACTCTTCTGTGAAACCCCAATCACTAATTTGCTGTTCTAATGAGGGAAGTTTACATCATGTGCAATGGGCCACCCCTTGGAATAAAGGATTACTGTGTCATGTGAGGCTCATTACCCACTGTTATCTCTACCCCGCCTCTCTTCTCCCCAAGCCTGGTTTGTGTTACACACACAGGACAGCCATGCTCACCCCTGAGCGACGGACACTTGAACATTGTAACAAGGTAAGAGGGGGCTGTCTGAAAATTCAAATTCAAACACATCGCTGTAGGCATCATCGTCCTCATCCTGGTCTTCTGGTCCTGGGGGGTTTGCTAACACGTCATAGCCGCTCTCATCATCGGGTTCTAATGTAGGAACAAGCAGGGAAAAAAGCATCAGTAAACTAGAGCAAGATGTCAGCTGCTGCCCCACCCCAAAAGGGAGGAGCTCTAAGCCAACAAACTTCTTTCTTAACTGAACCTGGCTTCCAACAGCCGCCCTCTGCCCTGGCTTCCCCTCCCCCAGCCCACAAGCAGTTTTAACGTGCTCACTTCCCACTCCAAATATATACATAAAGAAAAATAAGGCTGCTATAACACTTACCACATACAGAGCTGCCATAGAACTCCCAGGAGCCATTGGAGTCATCGTCACTGCGACCCTGTAGGTCATTTAAGTAATCTGGAGAAAGAGACAGGAAATGCCTAGTCAAGAAAATACTCTACTCCATGAGAACAAGAAGCTGATCAAATTTTGGGGGGTGGGGGAAGATGTCTGCTCCCCCCCCATAAACTCTTTTCCAGCTGCCGGTCCGCTCCTATTGCCTCTCTGTATACATCAAGGATGTTATTTCCCTACAACCCTGTTCTCATAGTATCTGACCGATGTATGCCGACTCCACCCCAACAGGAGCCACCAGCTAAAACTCTTAGCTCTTCTCAGCAGACACAGAGGAGCAGTTTATTCCTGCATCTCTTCAGGTAAACAAGGGTGGGCCAGGGGTAACTTTAGTAGCTAGGCGCTTAACTGCAGGTCCTTGCCATGCAAGACAATCTGGAGTTTCTGCTTTAGGGATCTGCCTGGGGCTCAGGAACATATTTTTCCTACGACAAACCCCACACGAGCTGGTAGAAGCCTTTTGTGTATGGGCTGTTTGAGTCATTTCAGGCTGACGCCAAACGTAGACCTGCGAGTCCCAGAAAATACAAAAACACTCTTGGAAGGCGCTTAGGGGAAAGCATTTAGTTTTGCAAGAACAAGGTTGCCTGACATAAAAGGCCAAAGAGCCTAATCACTGGGTCCCCACCCGCCTCCCACGCATGATGCCTGAGCTTTGTCAAGTGCCAAGCAACAGGGGCCAATGAGGGAGACACCATTTCTTGGGTCCTTTTGGTAGTACCTGTTAAGAATTTTTCCATCAGTTCGCTGTGGGTCATTTTCATGATGGTTCTACCTGAGTACGTGGCAAGGGTAGGGTCAGCACCATAGGAAAGCAGCAGGCGGACAATTTCCAAGTGATCGTTCTCCACGGCGTCGTGCAAAGGCCTAGGGAAGAGGCACATGGTGGCACTGAGTTCCCGGATGTGCCACTTGTCTCCGGTGGATGCCCACAGACAGCACCGAACATGTGTGGAACATGGGGAGCGTCTCCTGGGCATGGCACTTTATCCAGAATGTATATTGTGTTATCATCGCCACTGCACAGACAGGAAGACCAAGGTCCCCAAGGTCAAGGCACACATCACCTAACCCTCAACCTTGTGAGTGAAGGCACTGCTTCAAGCTTCCTTCTCACAAAGCACATCTACCTGAATTCAAGGCTAAGGAAGAACTCAAACTCCACCCCCTCTCAAAAAAAAAAAAAAAAAGCTTCAAACCAGCAACAGGCTCCTGGGGAGTGGGGGCGGAGTCTCATTCACACAGAAGGCAATCCAGACTCCTACTGACCTGACCCTGCAGGATGTCACACCTGCCAGACAGCAGCACTCCAGGCCCTGGAGCCCAGGGGCCACTGGGGAATAGCACAGCACCTTGCCTCACGGCAGCGCCACCCGCAAGCTAGACACTAGTGATGACTCAGACCTGGGTCTCAGACCAATAAACTGGGGCCAAGGACAGGGTGAGGGCCAGCGAAGCAGGAGTGGCAAGAAGGGGAGATGCACCCTAGGGACTCTCTCCCAACTCCCAGGGATTTCAGAGACACCATGGTGCTTGCAGGTCACCTGTTGCTGCCGTTCCTTAAGGGGGTTCCCCGTGTACCCAGAGAAGCCACTGCCTGGGTCCCAGCACAGGGCCAGGCAGGAGCCTGGCAAGACACGCCACTGACCTGGTTCCGTCCTGAGCACTGCAGTTGACATCAGCGCCATATTCCAGGAGGTGCCGCACGATGTTGAGCCACCCCCTGGCACAGGCCTCGTGCAGGGCACAGTAGCCTGCGTTGTCTCGATGATTGACATCACAGATCTTGTTTTCCAAGCAGTACAAGACGACTTCCTGTGCAGAGGGGACAAGGAACACTGTCAGGTCAACCCCACCATGCTCATTGCTTCCCAAAACACACACACATCCGGAAGTGGGGCCTCAGGCGGGCTGGGTCGTGGTTTTGGGGAAGCCAATCACATGAGTGATAGGGAGCACGTCACTGGGGCCTCTGCTTGCCCCCCAGCCCTTCCAGAACCAGAGACAGCTAAGCAGCTGGCTCCTAAGATGCCAACGCACAGTCGACTTGATCAGCTCATGCAGCGGGCAGTGGTGGGTGATAGCCCAAGTTGACAACAGTGAAGACTACTCATGTACAACAGATTCAACGAGTGTGCAGGTCAGCCAGGCCCTTGTTTGAGTTTCAGCTCCCTGCTTCTGACACAAGTTCCCATTGATGCCCACCCTGGTAGGTAGCAGGTGCGGGGAGTCCTGGATGGAAGTTGGTAGGCTCCTGGCTTTAGCCTGGTTCAGCCCTGGTAATTGTTGCTATGGGGTGTGTGTGAAGCAGCAGAGAAGATCCCTGTGTCTGGTCTGCCTTCCAAAACAAAGTGCGAATGAAAAAAAAGACTAGGAGGAGAGCCTGGGCTGCACTGTTTCTGTTCAAATGGGAAGTCAAGTTCAAGAGGAGGCTCCCTGTAAACTACATAAATCATCAAAAAATGACAGGCTTTAAATAAGGCTACCCCCCCTTTTTTTTCCCCCAAGCCTCACTTCGCCACCTCCCTTGGGGCCAAATCCATGGGCTCTGTTCCTACTGACTTGAGTGAATGGCAGGGCTGTAATACAGCACATAGTGCAACTGACACATTGCCCAGATGCGCCCCACACTGACAGTTTGCATGGGAATCGCTGGAGCTAACCTTCCTTCTTTGGCTTGTGAAAACACTAGTGTGAACCACTGCTAGTTAGCAAAGCAGCAATTTATTCCATGGCTTTATTACCTTGATTAAGTTCTCAAACACATGGAACAGGATCTGCCATCAGAAAACATGTCCTGGCACCGCCCTGCTCAAGGCGCCCAGCAGAGAGCTGCAGGTGCCATGAAGCGGGTGGGCGACCCAACCCATGCTGCACATGCTGAGGGGTGCCTGTGGCACACAGCTAACTTCCTTTGTGACAACTCCTTTTCAATGCTCATTTGAGCTTTCTCAGGTTCTTGCATAATGGGTAACAGGTGTGCAAGCATTTGAGCCATGCTGCTTTCCAGGATTCTGCAGTAGCAGGAAGCTGGATAAGAAGCAGAGAAGCAGGTCTGAAAAGCGGGCCAAGGCTGTGGGATTGGGAATTCGCCCTGCCAGTGGATTAGCCTAGAGCCACTGGGCCCAGTTCTCTTCAATCACTCCGCTGTCCAACTTGAGCCACCCAGGAATGCGAGGTGGGGTCTTAATCTGATCTGCCCTTTCTAGGACAAGCCAATCAAGGTGGTGCTAAGAAGGAATGTACTCCTCCCGGCAGCCGCGGTTTGCACACTAGTGCCTCGCTGCTTCCGGTCAGAGCAGCAACTCCAGGCCAGAAACAAGACAAGAAAGCCAGAAGGCATGCCTGCAGCAGGTTCCTGCCTTCGGGTCCTAACTGCAGCCCAGCCCGCAGTCCTCGCAGCTCGCAGGCCACCTGCCCCGAGCGCTGGTATCCAGGATACAGCATGAAGCTGCTGCTCTTTTCACCGGCCGTCACTAGCCAGACTCGAGTGCATGGCGGCAAGCTAATGAGTTGTGTGCCCCAGCCGGGGAGAGGCCCCCATCATGTGACTCCGGGATCAGCTCCGAGCACCACCCACTGCTGTGCGCAGATCAATTTACTCGGATCCCGGCGGCCTGCCTGGTGTCCTACCAACCCCGGGTTTATTTGTTCTGACAATTATGGCCTTCACCTGGAAACCGTCAGCGCTGCTCCGGCTGATGTGAGGGAGCCAAGAAATGAAAGGACAGCGGAGCGGAAGGGCAAGCCAGCTTGTTCCCCCCAGAGGACGGGAGCAAAGGCAAGCATCACCCGACAACCAGGTCAGATAGCTTGCTGTGGCCTGCCCTCACTCAACCGCGTGGGCACCACTGACGGTCGTAGTGCTTCTCCCCTGCCACCCAGTTCCCCGAGGCCAGCCAGCCAGCCGTGGCCAAGCCCTTGGAGACTTTCTTTCTCTGTGTGGGTCAAGCATGCTCACAGAGATCCCAGCCAAAGAGGGGGGACAGCCAGCACCATGACCAATACAGAGAATGGTGACAAAAGCAGATGCAGAACCCCGTTGTCTGAGCTACCAATGGGAGCATTCGCAGGGCAGCCTACCCAAACAACAACAACAACAACAACAACAACAACAACAACAACAACAAATCAAACTGTTTTTGTTGGACAATTCTCTGGTAAGTGGCTATAAGCTGAATGCCATTAACCGCAAAATGTAACCATAAAGGCCATAAACCCGACATTGCTAATTAATTAAATGCCTCATTAACTTTTTTAAAAACATAACTTATTCAATTCATAGAAAATTTAACCATCACCACTAAAAGCACAAGCATGTGGTCGCACGCTGGCACTGTAGCCTAAGAAACCGAAGGCCTCTTGCCGGGGAGGGAGAAGTCTGACGCTCCCTGGCAGCCCAGGTGGTCCGTGTAAGATGCACCTGGGGACAGGGGCTGCCGTTTAGCACCAAGAAACAACAGCAGTGGAGGAAGCCCTAACCAAGCCTAGCCAACCCGTCGCAGGCCGTGGCATCGTCAGCTAAGCAACAGTAAGAAGAAACTCCAAAAAGCCACCCCCAAGGCAGTTGACACAACCTTCCACTGCGATGCTCGCCCACCATGGCCCACCACGCCAACCGTGTACAAATCTCTGCTCCCCCAATCCTGGAAAGTTAAAGTTCAGAAAGTCAAAAGTTTTCAGCTAGCAACTTGAAGCCTCCAGTATCAAAACAGATGCCCTGTGCAATTTACGCCATGCAAGTGACATTCTGAAAGGGGAGAGGGGGTAGCCTAGGCTTTCGCAGGGGCCAGCCTGGTAGCCTTATAGACTCTGCATTAAGCACTCCAGAAGCCCAGCCTTACGCCCACGCAGGCTGTATATACAAAAGCCTCCAACGTGGAAATGCTCGCTTAGAGGCCAGAGCACCGTCTCTGCGGCAATAGCGTGCCAAGGATGCCAAGATCAAAGGCCAAGGCAGGAGTCCCGAGCCACAGAACCTGGGCAGCTCACTGCCTTCCTGCCCTCGCTCGTCTCTGGTGCCTGCTGGAACCACACGTCTGTTTTCTCACCCACCATTAGTCACAAGTGGCCCTGCCCGCTAGCATGTTGCAGCTCCCCCACCCCCCCAGGTACTTGCGGGCAACCAAGCGGCTGTCACTTGGATTAATTACCAAATCATTCTGGAGAGTTCTCTCTGAGACAGACACACTGGTACAGACCCAGAAAGGCACACACAATCAAGTACCCGGTTAGTGTTACACAGGCCGGCCCCATGGCTCGCTTCCAAGGTGTTACTTGCACACTCATGACTTGGCGGGGAGGCAGGGAGCGCGGTGGCTGCGTGGTACTGGTGGGAAAGACTCAAGGTGCAAGGCCTTGAGTAGCAGGGTCGAGGGGGTCCCCAAAGTGAAGCCAGCATAGAGCCCACTACCCCACTTGTCCTCTACACACCATTTGCTGAGCTGTTTCCCCCCCACCCCCACAGTCAGCTACCAGAGGGTTGGTGCCAGTGGGAAGAAAATAAAAAAACCTTTGCTCCACGGGCTATTACACCACTGAGTTCAACTGACTGGGGTGCCAGGCAGCAGATGCCATCTACCTCACCGAGCTTTTCAGACTGCACCAAGCCAGTCCCAGGGAGTGCTGGGCTGCCTGGACAAGTCGCTTATAAGCCTTCTGGAACTCAGTCTCCTCATCTGAAACAGGGGCTAACACTTCTTCCTGCCACACGGAGGTGATGACAGCCTTAGCAGGGATCGGAGCCCAGGGTTGAATGCTCCCCCAGCCACACTGAGAGGGCTTGCAGAAGGGATGGCACACCTCCTCCTGACCTCTGGGGCTGCCTCATCCTATCTTAGACCAGTGCTGTGGCTCAGTGGGTGAAGCCACAGCTTGCAACAGCAGCAGCCCATGTGGAATTGATGGCTTGAATCCTTGTTGTCTGGCTTCTGATGAAGCTCCCTGCTAATGCACCTGGGAAAGCAGCAGAGGTCAGCCCAAGTGCTCGGTCTCTGCCACCCACGTGGGAGACGCCAATGGAGTTCCTGGCTCCTGGCTCAGCCGAGCCCAGACCTAGGCATGGCTGGCACCTGGGGAGTGAACCAACGTATGGAAGATCTGTTTGTGTGTGTGTATGTGTCTCCCTCTCTGCCTTTAAAGTAAATAAATAAGTGATAATCGGGAGAGAAAAAAACCATTTAGATCTGTACCTCTTGTGACCTCACACAGCCGCTGCCTCCAGGACAGCAAGACGCAACCCCAAACAGAACAAATAAATAACCTCTCCCTCTGGTTCATCAGAACCCAGAAGGGCTCATTAAAATTCCCCTGGTAGCCTGGCCCTGGCGCATGTCTGATTTCGTATGAGAGATAAGCGACGGTCACTGGAGGAGGCTCAAGCAGCCATCCAGCCTGGATGCGGACTAAACATCAGAAAGGCCTTTCTTCTCAGAGCAGCGCGATTGAACCAGCCACCAAAGAGGCAGGAGGCCCCGCAAACACTAGCAGTCAGGCCCTCATGCCGAGGGGGCGGGCTCTGCCCTCCAACTCCCTCCCCGCCCCAGCTCCCAGGAGCTGCCTCCCATTGCTCAGACCTCGTAGCCCAGCCGGGCAGCCCGCTGTAGGAGGGTCTCGCCAGCATTCTTATTGACGATAAGTCTCCGTGCTTCCGGTGGCATCGGGCGCGACTGGGTGGTCTCCTGAGGAGAACTTGAGCGGGGCAGCTGCGGTGGGGCCTGCGGGGCTGGCAGCAGTTGTTGCAGGCGGTCGAAGGGCTTGGGTTCCTGCTTGGCTGGCGGGGACGCATCGTAGTCCGGGCTGGGCTCAGGTCGCTTTCGGACTCTGCGCACGGTCATCTGTTAGGGAGGCAGGCGAGGCCACACAGATAAGGCTGCATCCTTGCCAACACCTTGTCCACCACCATCACCACCAGAGAAAGGCACTTTGCTTCCTGTTCACATTCGTGGGGAGGGGACGGCTGGGCGGGGATGGCTGGGGGGTGGGGCGGGTACCAAGGAGTGATGACTGGTGAGCAGGCGGGGGAAGGGGTCCAGGGGTTACCTTGCCGTCGGCGTTGTCCACATAGTAATCCCCTGGCAGCGGCAAGCTGCGCCTGGGCTCCTGAGGTATAAGGTGTTTCGTTTTGCACAGCCTCTTGCCCGCCGGCTTCTCGCTGTGCTCGGGGTACTTTTGGAGTAGAGAGGCCGCCGAGCAGTCGTCCTCCTCGTCGGCGCACAGCGCATCTGTCTTCGGGCTTTCTTTAATTCTCGGCTGTTTGGCAGGCAGCCTTGGGGCCGGCGTGCAGTTTGGCTGACTCTGCTTCTTCCCGCTCACATGGGTGGATGACAGGCTCGGCCTGGGCGGAGAGCCGGAGAACACAGGCAAGCCTGGAGGGGGAGGGAGAGAAGCAGGCGTTACAGGGATGTGTGTGTAAGCGGGTGGCGGGGGCAGTGGGGAAAGCCCATGGTCTATGCACCCCGATCACCTCCACCCCCATCACCAGAACGGCTCCAGTATTTTTTTTTTTTTTTAATCATCCCACACTGAGCCAGCAAAGAGGTTAACCCACAAAATGCCAAGTGGCTGGGCTTCTTCACTGCAGAGCTACAAGATGAGCCCTCCCACTCTCTTGGCTCCACCCACCCCCTAAGCTTGCAAGCCCAGTAGCCACCCAAGAATTCCCTCCTGGCTCAGTCTCAGGCTAGCTAAGGGGCCCCAGGCCTGACAAAACCAGGCTGGTGCCCTGCAGCTGGGGTGGGAGAAGTGCAGTGGAGGGTGTGGGAGGAGGGAGATGAAGACCTGGAAGGCCCTTTCCCCTAGGGCCAGGAGGCCAGGCAGCCAGGTGCACTGCTGTACCTTGCTCGTTGTCGCTGGACTTAAGGGACTCTTCGGACCAACTTCTGTTGCCTTTGGCCTCGGTCCTTTTCCTGCTGGCTTTCTCTTCGCTGAGGTTATTTCCCTGGATGGTGACTTCAGACGGAAGTGCCTGGGCCACTTCCTTTCTGCCTTGCCGGGCACACTTACTCTCTGCGGCCGACACCTGCTGCTCCCACCGCTCTCTGAGGTGCAGCAAGTGGCGCTGTTTTTTAGGATGGAGCCCTGTTAATTCAATACACACCTTCAGGTTGGTCAGCTCACTACAATGTGGGTCTTCTAAGTGGTTAGAGGAACTGTTTGTCATTTCCCTCTCAGGCCAGTCATCTAATGGAGAAATAACTACAAATTAATCACCAAGCTCCCTGGAGCGGGGAACAAAACTGTCTTATACATATCACTACTTGGGGAGGGGAAGGGATGGGGGGGAGAGAGGGAGAGGTGACCGCCTCTGCCTGAGCTGGTCACCTCGTTTGCTTTTGAGTGCCTGTTTGGGGGCAGGGTTGGGGGAGTGGGGTGCAGCACGCCAGGGTTGGGGTGGGGTGGGGGAAGGGGTGCACACATGGGTGGGGGGCGGTACGGGTGTCTCAGGGAGGCAGTGTGGGAGTGGTGAGGTTCCCCCTCCCTGACTGGTTCTGTCTACGGGGTTGCGCGCACGCCCACATGCACAGGGCCCCCAGTAGGCCGCCAGAGGCCTCACCTTTGGAAAGCCGTCTGCGCTTGGCCTTGAGCGCGGGGTCCTCTGGCAGTTCCTCGGTTGCGGTGTCGGGGTGGCTGCTGTCACCCGAGGCTTTGCGTTTCCTATCCAAGCGGACAGTGGGGCTGTGCGGCAGGTCAGCGGCCGCCTGGTGTGCGGGCGGCTCACTGCCAGGTGGCCTCTCGGCAAAGTACTTCTCCACAGGAAGGTCTTTGTCCTCTGAGCCTTCAAAGGGCTCATGCTTGTTTGCTGCACTGAAGTCGCCTGCACAGGAGAAAAGACAAGACCACCTACAGTGAGGGGCAGACAGTTCCCCTGAGAAGGTGGGCTCTGTGTGTCTGTGTGTAAGCAGGACGGCCAGGTCATCTGCTTCCACGGGAGCTCACACATTGGGGGGTACAGTATCAAGGCCACACTCACATGCCCTTGGCGTGTGTGTGTTGGGGGGCGCTCCTCAACAAGCTCATAGAAAGTGCATGGCGGGGAAAAGCTTTACACGCATACTGTAAACTTTTCACACCATTATGTTGCGACTGTGTGTTGCCCTGAGCTTTTCAAGTGCCCCTGAGGACGTGGGGGCATGAAGGAATAAAGATGAGGTCTGTGCACACACTGTATTCGGCTTTTGCAGCAGCTAAGGTCCAAACAAGCCAGGGTTGTTGCCCTAAACCATCTCTCTAGGAACATTTTGGTATGAGGCAAATTTTTTTGAAATGAATGGAAAGTGGATTTAACAAAATAGCTTCCACACCTCCCAAAATGCCATTCTACAGAAGAGATGGCACCAAATTCACAAGGGTCAGTAGCGGAGATGATGACTGACCTTTGGGAGACGTGGAAAGCTCAGCCTGGCCTGACAGTCCTGCCAGCCAAAAGTGACAGCGTTTTGTGCAAGGGCCAAGGATGCTGGGCAAAGCCAAAGGCAAGATCTCCTTAGCTGAAGTTCAAAGGCAACCTCAAAGGACTCAATTCCATGGCTACACACATGTAGTGGAGAATCAGGTGTCTGTCATCAGGAAGTGGCTCCCATTTCCTGTCCACTAGAGATGGAAGGAACTGGCAAGGGCCCAGTCACCCCATCCCATCTGGCACTCCTGCTCCTTTTGTGCCAACTTCCATGCACAAGGCGCCCCTCTCTCCTTTTCACTAGCAGGTGTGGCTTTATGGAAGCTGCCCATCCCAGTGCCGGGGGACTGTGCTAGCGTCAGCTTAGCCCTTCCCACTTGTGCCATAGCTTGATGAACAGCGCATCCACTGCTCTTCTCTAATATGGAAATGACCACCATCAAGGTGTTTGCCCCTGGCCCACTAAAACGCTCCGGCTCCTCTCCCGAGGTGTGAGTCTGAGAGCTTGGTAAGCACAGAGGTGAGAAGCAGAAATCGCTGGCTCCTGGATACAATGATGAAAACTTCCCCTCATCTAGGAGAACCTGTCCGCCAGGCCTCCACCTGGGCAGACACTCCAGTTCTAGATGACCATGGGTTCAAGCTGCAATGCTGGTGGGGTTAACCTGAGCTCTCAACACTTGGAAGGTTTCATTCATTTCCTCTCTGGGGGTGTCCCTCCCACAGTACAACAGACAGGGCTGTACCTACCTCCCCACCCCCACCCAGTGCCTTGCAATCTTCCTCCTCCTCCTGGTGATGCACCACGGAGACTGGCAGAGCTGAGTTGGGAATGACTTAGCCAGACCCCAGACGTCACAACAGGGGCCTACCATCAGGCTCAGTAAGCCACAGGGCTGCCCCCATATCTGGCCCCTGTTTTCAGGTGGGACAAAGACAGCGTGGCCACCATGTCCCCAGGGGCAGCCAAGGGGAGGCCCCAAGACTTGGGCATTAAAGTCCTGAGACCAATTTGGATTTGAACTGTAGTGCTTAAAAGCTCTTAAAGCACTTCCTTCCCCTAACTCTTGAGGTAGGAAAGATGGCTGAAACTGGGTGGGCTTCGAAAAGCAGAGATCAGAGATAAGAGTGAAGATGAGAGTGGCCTGGCATTGTTCCTAGCAGCCTAATCCCTTCATGTCATGGCAGATGCACAATCTCTCTCCACCCGTTTTAGATTCACTTTCACCATCTGACACTTGAACTCCAGGGCTCATAGAGTCAGGGTGTTTTTAACACCTCCTGCATCCTAAGACATCTATTTTCGGGGAGAAGGTCTTTCCTTCCAAGTGGTCACTCCTACTGCCAACTTCCTAGCAGCATAGGGAGTAGAAAATTCACCTACCCCATCTTTTTGCCAAAAATGCCCACAACTTTGGCCCACAGAAAACCACCCGGAAGACCTGGGCTAATAGTTCACCTGCCCAGGTGAGATGGCTTGCCACCTGCCTCCTCTCGGGCTGCCAAGATGGGAAAAGCGCCTCACTGCCCGCTAGTTCGCCAGCTCCACTTGTGCCTTGGTGTTGGCAGAGCAGTCATGGTGGCTCCCCCACATCCGGAGATGCCCGTACTGTAAACCCAAAGGCACAGGCAGCAGCCAGTGCTGCTTTCTCCTCCGTTCGCAGGAATAACTTGCAAACTGGGTCTATCCTCTTCCCCCAATCTCCCAGCTTCTTGGGGCACAGATTCTGACTGCCCACGTAGACATCTTCACTGACTAGGGTGATGGTTCACAAGCCAGGAGACGATCCTGAAAAACCGCACCCCAAGTGCCACGTACTGCAGGGGATGCATTCCATGCCCAGTCCTCACAGCTGGCACAGGACCTCCTCAAACCGCTACCTCCTGGATTACCCTTGGGGACCAACGAGGTGGCCCAAGAGCGACAGACAGGGCTTCTAGCCCTTAGACTCCAGGGTCACTGTTAACTCCATGACATGAATATGGCTGTGTGGCTACTGGTTTGACACTTGCTTTCTCCCCCAAACCATGGTCAGGTGACACACTTCACACAATCTACCAAGTTGTGCCGCAGCACCACCTCATAGGTGCACCACCACATGACATTTACATGTCACCCAGGCAACACGGCAACCGCACCATTGAGGCAGCCATGCCCAATGAGCCCTAAAACAAACCAGTAGGCAGAGTGTTGAGTCCGAGGTTATTCAAGAGGTCAAGCCCCTGGGCAGCAACTGTGTCACCTCCAGCAGAATCTGCTCTTGCTGTGACTTGCACAGCCTACATTGAAAATACGCATTCTCTCTCTCTGCTGCAACCTCCAAGGGGTTCCCAAAGCCTGCACGTGCTCCCTTGGAAAGCAACTTGCCAGGGGAACGAGGTCCCAACCAGGCCCTCTGACTCAGGCCTTCTCCAAGTTCCCCGAGACACACCCCTCCCCGAAGGTTCTAGGTTTACTCCAGCCAAGTGGTGAACAACGGAGATGGTGACTGTGCTCAAAAATTCCTCCTTGTTGCCTCTCTCCACTTTCCTAATGCTGCTGATGGCTCCCAAAAAGCAGAATTTGGATCAGTTTCGACAATGACCAGTTGACAGTAAAAGCTTTGACTCGGCCACCCACATTACTGTAAAGAAGATAGGAAAGCCATGACTGGTGTTCATTCACTTTCCTTAAGCAAGCCCAACTTCCCCTCCTCCCCCATTTCAGAAGCCAATGGTGCCTCCAGGAGTGGGAGAGCTGCCTCCTGCACCGGATTGGCGAGCCCTCCCTACTCCCTCTCCTATCAGATGATAGTTTAGTTCTTGGTCACAGTGAAACTCATAAGAGAGAACTGAAGAGCCCCCTTAGAAAGCAGGACTCCCACGAAAGGCTGTGAAGGCAAAGTTAATTTGGTAGCTCAATGTGGCAGTGGCAGCAAAGGATAGCAACTTGTCTATGGCACTCTCCACCACAAACCACCTCCTTCTTTGGAAACTAGAGACAAGACCAGAAGACTTGAAGCTGGCTGAATTCCCATCAACCCCTTCCCCGCCCCCACTGCCTCCTTCAGTCTTCACTCCACGGTGCCCACTTCTGCCAAGTCCTCCCAGATACCTTCGCAAGAGCCAATGTCATGAGGCACGTGCCAGGAAGAAAGCTTTCTCCGCAGGCTCACCCATGAACAATTGGCCCTTCCAGTGCCACACGGCCACCTCCCAAGGTGCAAATGAGCAAGGGATTCTGCCAAATGGGCAAGGTTCCCCACGGCCAGCAACTCAAAACTATTTTCTGCAAAACTAACGTTCAACAACGTCATACCCAGAAAGCCTGTAGCAAACCACAGGGGATTCCCTGGAGATGGGTCAGGCAGTGAACAAGGACTCGCTCCCTGACCAGCAATCTCCCAAACTCCATCAGACACAGATGAACTGAACTGGGAATGCCACACCTTCCACTGCATGGAGCCCTAGGAAACGCCCCTTCTGGGGAATCTGTTGCACCTGCTCTCCCTGCTGTGCTCACTCAGATGCCCGAAATCACCTTCACTGAGGATTCGGCTTTCTGCCACTCGAAGCAATCCAGCAAGCGCATTCAAGAAATGAAGACAAAGACATTCCACTCTGACTCTCAAAGTCTCATCCCCAGATAGCATCGCAAGCTCGGTCCCAGTGGGGGGACCAGCTCCTACAACTAAAGCCGGAGGAAGGCAAGCCCTGGCTTTCTCTCCACACATGATCTCTAGGACCCCATTCACTTTCTGCCAAGCACAAAGAGCCACACTATTTCTGTAGGGCTTTGTAGCCACTAATGCGCTAAACAACCACATTCATCCTGACGGCGCCCTCCCCCATCCCACTTCAACCAAACCTATACGCCTTCAGAGGAGAGAACGCAAGGTCCCTCCATCTCAGGCCACACAGTGGCAGGTGGCGGACAGAATGTCACACACCTCAGTTAGGAAACGGAACCACTGTTTTATTGGATGGACCCGCGACCAGGCATGGGGGACCAGTGCTTCTTTGGAAGGAGACAGTCTCAGAAAGGAATCTGGTGAAGGTGCCCCCCGGCCTGGAGGCTTGCTACAGTGTTGAAATGTAGAAACACCTGGTTAATGCTATAGCTAGCGAAAGCCAAGGCCAAGGCGACCGCTCAGGGCAGACAGCACCAGCACAACAGGCCATTTTTGGGGGTGGGCACACCCCGTCTCTTGTCCAGGATCTGCAATTACATTCGTCCTGTGCTCATCCTGATGGTACCCAGCCAGCCCGCCCCCTAGCCAGCTGTGCGGGTTCACTTACATCTCTCGTTGTCATTCTGGTTAGCACTGGCCTCCTCCAGGGTGACCGACTTTGGCTTTTTGTCCTGATTTCCTTTCAACTTGTCCCAGTCGGCGGGGCCAAATTTGCACACCTCGGTGTCTTTGGTAGCTGGGTGGCCACATTCTCGTTCTTTCATCTCCAATTCTGAGAAGCGCATCATTGCACGCTAGAAAGAGAGTGGAGATGAAGGAAAAAAAAAAAAAAAAAAAAGAAAAACAACACCTTACCATAAAAGCAATTTCATTGGTCTTACCTTAAAGGAAAGCATATCAAAAGAAAAAGTTTGCCCAAAACCAACCACAATTTATGAGATACAACTCAGGTATTTAGTGATATAATTTAAGAGTATCTATATGTGAGGAGCCACATATTCTTTTATTCATTAAGTCATACGGCTATAGATTAGGTATGCGGTGTGTATGCATAGCCACACATACACGATTGCATAGACAGACATTCTCTCTCGGAGATAAGTGAAACACAAGAGAAAGCACAACGCAAAGGAAAAACACGACAACAGCACGACAGGAAAGAAACACAAATGCACAAATGAATAAAGACGACCATGGCCCACAAACTTCCCTTTGTAATATTTGGAAATGAAATTTAACTCAAAAGGTTTATGGAAGATTCTAGTAATAAAAATTTGAAGAACTGACCTCACAGTAAGCAGCGGGTAGACATAAAATACTGTCCTCTTGTAATCCTTCCATCTATGTAATTAAAATGGGCACTCAATGGATCATTTAGATAACTTCATCCATTTTTATAAGCAAAAACCAATTTTTTTTCTTAACATTGCAAAAACAATTTGGCTTCATTCATCTTGTAAGTAAAACTAAAATATCTTAAGGAAATTCCTAGCAACATCTATCATACGTCACCAGCAAATTAAACACATACTCTATCCCTTTAACCTAACTTGTCTCACTCTGTCCCTCTGTGACAAAATTGTATGATTCCCACAAACATGCGGCTTTTACACTGCTCCAAGTATCAAGTATGGCATTGTAAGCAGTGTTTGTACAATTATCTGCTATCTTACAGGCAGAGAAATCAAAGCAATTGATAGGCAAACGTCACACAGTCTCTAGATAGCCTTTGACATAATTAAAACTTCCACCCCCAGCATCTGAGCACAGCTCTTGGCATAAACTACAGACTAAAGCACACGGACCGCCCAAGTGCACTACCACTCGCATCCCCTTCCTGGGCACATTGCAAGCATTCCAATTTTACCTTAAGCGTCATTCACATCTGCCTGGTGCCTTGCCCTGCCACGCTCCCCCCACCCCTCCACCAGATCCTGAATTCCCAGCCCAAGGGGGCTCACCTGCAGAGCTCGCTGCTCCCGGCTGAGCTGACTGGAATCAGCGTACAGTTCGGTGGTGACGCACTTGAACCGGTCACCCACGTAACCTGCCGAGTTGGCGATCCTCTTGGCCAGCTTGGATGGCTTCGGTTTCAGAACTTTGCCGTCAGTCGGCTCTGTCTCCTCTGCTCCATCTTTGGTATAGCTGGGGGTGACATCCATACTTGGAGGGGTGCTGCCCACACAAAAGGGTTTGGGATCCTCTTGGCTTTTACCAAAAGCCACTGTAGTAGGGCCATCACCCCCCAGGGTGGGCTCCAGGAAGGGCGTGGCCGCTGGCATCCCGAGGTTTTCTTTGTTGGTGCTGGCCGGGCTGGTGTCCTTATTTAGGCTGAACACGGGTTGGCCCGGCGCCTGCTTGAAGGCATAAGTGTCATGGAAATCGCCCATCCGCCCCAAGTCCTCTCGCAGGGTGATGAAGTCCCGGAGTGGCTGCAGAGCGGGCTCCGCCGGGGGCTTGGCGGCCTCCACGCTCTGACCTGCCCCGTCCGCGGCAAAGCTGGCCTTGGCTGCATTGGGCTCAGCTTTTGCTTCGGACTCTTCTCGCAGCAGGTCCACGTAGACGAGCTTGTCGCTCTTGACTACGGTCTTTCCTGGGTTCCAGCTGGGGTTGGCCTTCATGGTCTTGTCACCAGGAAGCTCGGGGTGAAGCTTGGTGCCACTGGCCTCCAACATGTCTGAAAAGCGATTGCGGCCGCTGGGCTCTTCGTAGCGGGCTCTCTCGTGGGAGCGTGATCGCCTCTCGGGTTTTTCTTCTTTCGCGATCTCTAAGGGCGTGTGCGGTATCAACATGGGATGCACCATGCCCAGCCCCAGGGCGTCTTGGTAGGTCACAAACTCCGGCCGGCCTGTGGGCAGTCCGTAGGGCAGTCCAGGCTTTGGGGCGAGGTGCCCAGGAAAAAGGCTGCCATTGGGCAGCAAAACTGGGTGAGGGTACACAGGTCCTTTGCCGTGCAAGGAGAGTGGACTGATGGCAATCCCTTCAGGGGCTGGGTAAGGGAGGTAACTCCTGGGGTAGGGAATCGGTGGGGACCTGAAAGCCTCGTTGGGAGAGAGGAATATTGAACTTGGTGGTTCCGGATTACTAGCTTTGGTGCCCTTGCTGCTGGCGCTGCCACTATGCTTGGCAGGTGTGGTTGGGGGTTGGCCAACGTGCTGAATGACGGACGGCGTGGTGTCCACGGAGCTCCTACTAGTCTTGGTGCTGTCAGTATTGGCATTGGGGGCTGGTGACGCCGAGGCCGGGCGACCCCCACTTGACATGGACCCCGAAACGGTAGCAATCACGGCCTCGGTGCCCCCCATGCGGGGGCAGGAGGAACTCCGCTGCTGCGGTAAGGCCCAGTCCAAGGTCTTATTCTTCAGGCTAACACTTTTGCTGCTGTCCTCCTCATTAGGACTTGGCCCGGGCACCACCCAGGATGAGGGGGCTGTGCTGATGATCTCTGATCTATACAGAGCACAGCCGCTTCCTGGAGGAGACAAACTTTCTTTTGGAATCTCACTTCCGGCCAGCACTAAGCCACTTCCAGCCCTGCTGTGGACCAGCACCGTGGGTGCCATCTTTTTCATGTGGTCTGCTTTGGAGGCGTCTACGTCCACCACTTTAGCAGACAAGTCCAGCGGCTTGTCAGTGACATCTTTGGTAACGGGCTGCTTCTCCAGCAGGGGAGGTGAAGCGCCATCCTTTCTGTCTTGAACCGTAGTCTTCCGGGGGTGCCCGGGCACCGACTGGGCACCCTCGCTCCCTTCCGGGGCCTTGGGATACTTGCCGTTGGACAGCCTGGCCGTGGGAAACTCACTGCTGACTGTCATGTATGGCTTCGACAGGGTGACTGATGGCGAGGTGGAGATCCTGCCGTAATGCTTGTGGAATTCAGAATAGGTGTCTGCGGCCGGCTGTGTGGGCAGATGGAGGCGGGGCGAGGGCCGTGGCGACGGCGGCAGCAGCAGGGCCGTGTCTCCTGGCAGGCCGCTGCTCACGGCCTTGGTGGAGGGGACTCTGGGCTGCTTGCTGTTCTGGATGTGGGGGTAGGTGTGGGAATCAACCGGGTTCCCTGGGCTGACTCCCATCTTCCAGGAGAGGCTTTTGTCTGCGCAGTGGACCAGCGGTGGGATGGCCGGGGAGGCTGAAGGAGTGGACAGCCTCATGGGTGAAGCTAGGGATGATGGGATGTGGGGGCTGACGTAGTGCGGTGGGGGCAGGTAGAGGAAGCGCTCCCCATTGGTGCAGACTGGAGAATACAGTGGCTGGGCCAGGCTGTAGGACTGCTGAGGTAGCAAGGCCTTGTACATGTTCAGTGAATACTTATTTGGCGAATCAAGGAAAGGGTAGATGGCTGGCGTGGCCCCCTCCATGTAAGGATTGACCCAGGGCAGCCGTAGGTAACTAGCACCATTGATGTTGAGTGGGCTCTGTTTGTCGCTGGCAGGCCTGTCCAAGCCTAGCGTCTCTGCGCTGGCGACAGCACTTTTTTGGATCCCAGATGGCGTTTTATATATAGCACTAAAGCCATTGGGGGGCTTCCCGGCTGCAGCGGCAGCGGCAGCAGCGGCGGCGGCGGCGGCAGCGGCGGCTGCAGCGGCCTCCACAGTCTCGGGCGTATTGGGTTTGAATTGCATTTCTGGGTTCCTTTCCGAAGAGAAAGCCAGGCCACCTAAGGAGCTTGTGGCAGCCTCGCGGCCCTTGTCTGAGCCCAGTCCACACAAGCTCGAATAAACAATGTTCCCGGGCACTCGGAGCCCTTCCCGGAGCAGGCCGGCACGGTCCATGCTCAGTGCAGCCAGGCCATCGATGCGATGGGCGGGACTTGCATCCACCTGCGTGGGAAAACACCATGTGTTTTATTCCGAACACTCTAGTCTGATGCCCCTCCCCCGAGCCCCGCAGCCACCACCACCTCATCCGGCCCTGGCAAGCATGCAACCTTTAGATTCGAGGCCCATACGCTAATTCGGTCATCTATTAACTCTGGAAAATTCACTCTCAGCAAAAAACGCTTCGCTCCAAGGAGACAGCTAACTGAAACAGGGGCCTGGCAGGGGCTGAAGCTGGGGCTGGGGCCTTCCCCTTCCCCCCCACAACAAAGGCAGCACGGAAGGCAAATTAACACTGTTCCTTGGGAAGACAGGAAAGCAGGGTTTGAGCTGGCTCATTTTTCAATCAATATGCAGGCCAGGGGCCAAGCTGTGGTTGGCGTTTTTTGGGGGCCAGCACGAAGACAACTGGACAGGATGAATTGTCCAGTAGCAGAGCCTTCCTGCGTGGCCCTATGCTAACCATCACCCCCCCGCCCCGCCCACCCACGGCGGGGGGCCAGGCCTTTAACGACATGCAAATGAACCCACGATTGATTACAGATCTGTTATCACATCAACAGAAGCCAGGAATTGCTTACCACGTTGTGGTTCAAGGGATTCTCTTCCCTCAGTTCCAATCTGCCTTTTGAAGTGTCACCATCATTCACAGGAATTTTCCTATTAAAAAAGAAAGACACGGGGGAAGTCAGAGAGCAGACTTTCGGAGATCCACCCCCCACCCCAGGGAAAAAAAGGCCATTCATTCCCCCCTCGCCCCCAGACTTCCCAGCGCCCCTCACTGTGGCATAGTCAAAGTTGCCCCCAATGGTGAATCGACTTGATCCCAAAAAGGAATCACAAATACGTCCCCTGGGTGAGCAGACCCAAACTTCACACATTCCATGCCAATATTTTCTTCTATAAACCAAACTGGCCCATTTCACTTGCTGTCATCCTAGCCAGTCCTTATAAGCGTTGAGGACACATGGTAAGGAAATCTATCAGTTAAAGAGCCAAGGTGTGTGTGTGTGTGGCGGGGGGAGGAAAGACTAGAGGGAGCTGTGATTGTGGCTCTGGCCACCTCAACCCCTTTGGGGTTATCTGGGAGGGCAGGGCTTCAAAACTTTTTCCCAAAACAAAGTTAGCCAAGTTCCTACAGAACTCGTTTTGCTACGGTGATAATGACATCATTTATAACACAATGACCGGGGTGGGGATACGGATGGGGACATACGCACAGACACACATACACACACGCACGATAACACGATACAAATGTTGGCTGCGCCAGGCTGCAGAGGAAGCTGCACGCATCTGTGCCAGGCTGCTGTGGCTGCCCTGGGACTTGTTATCAGAGAGCATCGATAAAGACAGTGCTTGGTGCCAACTTCCAAATCCCCAGGATCCAATCGCTGACAAGCAGCGGAGGCGAAGTTTCATCATTACCCCCAAAGAGTGGCTTCAATCAACTCCAGCTTGGCTGCCTCTACCAACCCGCACCCCGCTCCCCGACTCCCAGAGCAGCACAAGAGCCCATGACGGACGGACAGGCGCCTTGAAAGCCAGGTAGGTGCCTGTGGCCTCAGCAGTCGAGCAGGGAAGAGAACCAGACACGCAGGGCTTGCTTGCACGAGAGGGTAGCTAGCTTCTCCCGTTTATTACTGAGCCAACTATTTGTTTTAAAAAGCACATCGAATACCGATCCACCTGGGCCCATGCTCCTGACATTTAGACTTAAAGCAGCATATAGGCTGGGATTAATTCTCCTTCATAAATATGAAATAATAAATTAAGGACAAAAGTGCACTGAAAGGCCGCTTTCGGGGCTAATCTTTTAAAGGGCGGCAATGCTTGGCTGAGCCAGGTTGCCTGTTACAACTGTAAATCAGGGGCTGCCAGCGAAGCAGGGTGGTTTGGTGGGGGGAGGGGCTGTTGGGGGGGAGGAAGAGGACGGTTTCTTCCCCACCCCTCTCTTTGGGCACCCCCTCCAGCTAGGGAAAGGTGAGGGGGTGTCACCGGGGGCTTGCTTCGGCACAGACTGGCTCCCTCTTCAGGGACTCGGGCCCAGCAGGCACATTTACCTGTCTTCGCTGGTCCCGCACATGCGGACCCTCTCGCTACTCATCCAGCTGTGAACGTTCGCATACAGGGGGGTTGCCGAGAGCATGTCGTCTTCTTGGAGAACAGGTTTGCGTTAAGTGTTAAGCGTCTAGTCTGTTTAAAAAGAAAAGACGGGGTAGGGGGAAGATGGAAAGAAAAAAAAAAAAAAACAGGAGGTTGAATAAAGAAGAATCCAACAGGGAACTAAGAGAAGGTTTTCTTTGTCAGCATTTCATCCCAGACACAGCCTCACCAAGGTGCACTGGGCTGGCTAACTCACAGGTGTACAGGCAATGCAACACCCTTGGCAGGAGGGAGGGGAGGGGGGCGGGAAGGGTGGGCGAGAAGTTTAAAGCCAAACAGGCGGCCTGTCTAAGTCACAGCAGCACTCGGCAGCAGCTGTGCCTTGCTGTTCCCAGCCTTTGAAAGTGCATGGTGGTCAAGGAAAAAAAAAAAAAAATCACTGGTTCTTGTCCCTTATAAAAGGGAAGGGAGAGCTTATTTAACTGGGAGACCAGGCGGCAGCCGCCGGGCCAGGGACCGCTGCCATGAATGGGATGGTGGATCTCTGGCAGAGAGGCAAACACTGCGGCCAATGGGGCACAGAATTTAATCTTGAGGGTGCAAAAAAAAAAAAAAAAAGGTGGGGGGAGGATGCGGTAGGCTGGTAGGAGCCCCACCGGAGGCCTTTGCCTGGGTGATTTTGCCTAGGAGGTACAGAGGAAGTTGGCTGAGTAACATAATGACACCTGCGCACATTTGAGGTCTTGGCACCCCAGGCTGATGGGCTCAAGGCCACCAGGGTCAGGGAGCAAGACTGTGGGAGGCAGAGGAGCCCAGGCCACCTCCTCCCCCACTTACCTTCCCTGCCTCCCCCCCTCCCCCCACAGCACATTCTAGTTTGCTACATGAGTGAAGGGTCAGGACAAGCTGCATTTTATTAACAGGATTATCACGGCGCGTGATTTATCCTCGTGCACGATTTTAATTGCTCTTTGGAGAGTGAGCCGTTTCTTTTGACTGCGCTTCAGCCCATATCCTGCTGTTAAATGCTGGGTTAATAAGTAGGGGAGCCTTTAAAGCCTGGGACCCATGGCCCCCGGCAATTCCCTGCTCCCAGACACAACCCCGCAGTCTCCCTTGTCCGGATTCGGCTGCTGGCGACATTTTTCCACGGGACCCAAGCCCAAAGTGCGAAATAATTGGGCGTGCGGATCACCACGGGAACTTTTCTTTCTCCTCCCTCACACACCCACCCACACAGTTTCCGAAAGCCCAAATGTTCCCGAAGTCCACACATTTCCTTTGTTAGCAAGGGGGAAAATATGCAAATGCTTGCTTTACACTTTAGCGCTGGGGAGCAGACTGGCGGGTCCCCAGGTTGGAGACACCAGGACCCAGGGCCAGATCAGGGACTCCCGCTGAGAGTGAGTAGGGGTGGGAGGTTGGGGAGGGCTGAAGCCAAGGGCCAGGCTAGCCACTTCTTTGTCCTCCAGCTAGGTCTTGGATCTACCAGCACCATCCCCGCCCCCCTGAACACCGGCTGTTAATGAAAACCTACATGCACAGTTAGAGCTCAACAACGAAGCTGGAAGAGCTGGAAGGGGGCCAGAGGAAGAGACTCCTGAACACCTAAGACAAGGGGAGAAGGCCACCCGCTGGTGCGCTAGGCTGACCACAAGGCACCCCACCCCCAGCTCCTATCCACACTTCTAACCCAAGGGAAACCTTGCTCTCACAAACAAGGCGGAAAAGTCAACCCTTGCTGCCTCAGGCCATATCACAACAGCAAGCAAAGAAATGAAGCTCAACCAGGCATGTGCCTAAGAGACCTCCATATTCTGGCCTGGTGGTTCTTCAATACTGGCTTCCCCTTCAGTGGTCACCTTGTGACCCAGGACCTCTCGGTGCCTTAAGGAGACAGAGGCACCACTGCGTGCTAAGCCCAGCCTTCGTCCTTCGTGCTTTTCTCTCTTGACACCAACCCTCAGAACCAAGAGCTGTGACATGCGCAGGGGTCAGCTGGAAAATTGAGGCCAGGAGTGCATCATGTCAGTGACGTCAGTGTGTTGGGGGGTGGGAGGGTGCTGAGGGGAGCAGTAAAGGGGGCTGGGTTCGGACAGAGAGCAGGAGGAGGCACCGTTATGCATGCACACTCACACACACTAACAGTCTTTAGCTGCCCCATGAACTTCTTGTGAACTGTTTAAAAGTGGAGGTCTGTTGAACAAACAGCGGCGCCACTGCCAGCTATAATTTCATTGCAACAAGCTAAAGACTTTTTAACTCTTCAGGTCCCTGGCCAAAGATGGAACACAGTGCAAGGAGCTAATGCACATGGACCATGCCTGGCCCCTTCTCCGGGGTGACAAAGCAATAGCGGCCTAACTCCTGGTCATCGGCAAACACCCAAGCACGTGTGTACTTCCACGGAGCCATCACCATTCCCCATGCACCCCAACCCCCCATCCCACTCCCCATGGGGACTGTGTATGGTAAGAAACACAAAGACCAAGCCAGAGGGCCACTGACATTCATCTTTGCTGGCTTCTAGATAGAAGGTGCTGTCAAAATAGCGCCAGCCTTTGTTTCCAACAACTCTGCTAAGCTTGGCAGCCATGGAACCGAAGCATGGGACACAAGTGATCTGGCCCGATCTGACCACCAGGACCCACAGCAGGGCCAGGCGTCCAGCTGCCACGGGGGAGGCTCACTAGCCCCTAGTTTTCCACATGTCTCTTCTTCCACATGCAGGCTATACTTTCTGCAACTGCCAGGCCGTGTGAAGTCACTCATGAAAGGTGCTTTACAAGCACCAACCTGTCTGAGGCATGGCTGCTAAGCTGCACATTGGCTCTCAGTTCTAAATGAGTCGTGTGAAGACCAGAGGGCAAGGAGGCAGATCGGGATGAAGGGGAGAGAGATGGCTGAGGCCAGGAGTGGAGGGCGTCCGGTTTCTAAAAGACAGACTCCAGGACCACAGAGCCTGCCTACTGCTGGGACACTCAGGTCCAAGGTCGGGAAAGAGCCGTGGAGCCCTGGTGTTGCACACTTGCTACATGGTCTTCCTTCTTGGTAGGGTGCTAGTAATAAAAGGAGAACTTGGGTCACCCTGGACACACTTGGAGCAGTGGATCGCTCCAGAGCCAAGGGTTCTGATTCGAGTGCCTGCACTTGGCCTGCATGCAGGGCAAAGGGCCTGACTGGTATAAAGGGGTCAGAGGGACCCAGGTTAGGGGGCAACAACCTGACCTGGGCATCTCTGAGCAAGAATATTACACATTGGGAGCAACACTCATGCCTGCCTACAGGCTAAGCGAAAAAGACAGGGATGCTTGGTTTTCCTCTGCAGGTGCCTGTAAACAACAGAGAGGTTGAATGGGAAGCCCAGGGGTTGGTGCCAGGGTCTTCCGGACCCTTACCACGCTGGCTCTGGCCACACCAGGCCACTTTGCGCTTCATGTCGCCTCTGCCCTCGAGGTGACGATCCATCAGCTCCACCCAACATTTCCACCTCCACAGGCAAGGGCCAAGCACAGCGTCCATCGCCACCCACCCACGCCAACTCCTGCAAATCAAGGCGCACCCCCTGCCTAGGTTCACTTAGCCAGTCAGTGGCCACCAAATGGGATCTGTTTGCAGGGACTTCCAGCTCCGATGGCCCAGCAGAGATAGGTGGTACCCTCCAAGTGTCCTATTCTGGAAACTGTGTGAACACACAGTTCACAAGGCAGCAAGGCAGAGAACATGGTGACCCCCACAGCCTCTCACCTTCACCCACTGTGTGTCTCTGGGCAGGTGACTGAAGCTCTCCAAGCCTAGCCCACCTCTGTAAATATTTGGCACCATGTTTTCCAGAGGATTAAGCTGCACTATGGACTTGAGTTTTGCCTGGCAATAGCTGGTGCTGGACACATTGAACTCCATTTAATAGCATCTGACTTCAATAACACTTCAGACAAGCCCCCAGAGCAGCTGTAGGTCCCCAGAGGCAGGGCTGTAGGGGAGGTGGGCGGGGTGGGGTGGCGTCTGGGGTAAAGATGCTAGGGGGCTGGATAAAGACCTTCAGCAACACTCAAAACTAAAACAGCCTTCAGGGGTTTCTGCAGGGAACTTTACTTCAAGGGGGGGTGGTGTGTGGAAAGGAAGCATTGCTATTTTTAGAATGTTGGGGGAAGGGGCTGTGAGCGTGGGGGTGGGTGGGTGGGTGGGGGGAGAATGGAAAGCTCTGGAATGTGAAGTGTGGAGCCTGTCCCACTGGGCTGCTTCCTCATGTGTTATGTAACTCCGCAATAGGGGACCCCCAAGGCTATCCCCAGGTCCTAGGCCTCCAGGTGGCTGCCCTGGCTCCAGCCGCCCCCAAGGGTATCCTAAAGGTTAGACTGGGAAAGCTGTGGGTGGGAGGAGTGCTCCAGCAGGGCCAGAAGCTTTCTCTTGGCACACTGCTAGCTAGAGCCTTGGCCGTGACTGCAACCTCTGGGGTCATCCCCACCCACACCCCCAAGTTTTGCATGACTAATAGATCGAGTTGGGGAGCAGGAGGGGAAGGAATAAGAAACTTGCCCAGCTTTGACCTTTCAAGCCCCCAAAACCTTCTCTGCCTCGTCCCAGGGTCACCTAGGTCAGAAAGCAGAGCCACCACGGTCGGGAGTGAACTTGGCCCTGAGCAGCAGAAGCCAGAGAGGGGGATGGGCGACCCCTCCCAGCGTGCCTCTGCAGAGCGGAGAGCGCTGAGCACCAACGTTAAGCAACAAAGGGATTTTTCTCCCACCACACACAGTCGCGCTGTTCCTCCGCCAAGCCAAGGACCCGGCGCACAATCGCGTCCTCCCATGGCGCCCCCGCCAGGCCTTCCAGGAACTCCTCTGAAGTGTCTCCAGGACAGTCCCGACCCCAGTTAACCCCTGGGACCCTGCGACCCAGCAGGCAAACTCTGTGTCCGCCCCCCTTCACGAGTACCCGCCATGGTTTCTGTCCTGCTACATTCCAACAAACAGAAACTTTGGGGGGATGGGGGGTGGGCTGGTGCGGGGAGAGGCTGGCTCTGAGACCTCCCAGGAAAAGCCAACCCACCCTCCTCCCTGCTGTCATTCTGAGATCCCTTGGGATCCCCA